TTGGTTTTCATGGTTAGGTTTGATCCTTGCTGTAGCAGAGAAAACTTGCCGTGTAAGCCTTTTCAATATGGTGGGCTACGCCTTTGTTTGCAATGGTTTCCTTTGTTTTGTACCCTCTTTGTGGCATCCTTACATTCCCGCTCTTTTCCGTTTGTTTTTCGTCTTTTTCAAAGCAAAATGCCATTAAACAAGTTCATATCGCTTTTGCATCCGGAAATCAAACTGTGGTGGCATGACTTTTGTTTTTCACATGTGGTTTTTGAAGTGTTGGCTTTCTGAGAACCACTGCTTTTAATGTTTTGGCTATTGCTTTTTCGTCCCCCCCAAATGTTTGTTAGTGTGTTTTGCATATCATTATGACCTAAGAATGATGTTTGGTTACGGGTTGTGATGAGGAATTGGCTTTGTGTTTGAATTTGGGGCCTGTTTTGTGAGTGTGACTCTACAGCAAAATCGTATCTACTGTTGTAACTTGGGTTTATGTTTTTTAAGCATATATAGGGGGGGTATGGTCCGTGAAGGTTTTTTCGGTTGGTTTTAAAAGGCTTGGTTTTTGCCCTTGCTAGGCCCTGCGTTAGCTAACTCTCTCCCTAGGCGCCTCGTTTGGCTAGTGTCCCACCCACTAGCATCAAGAATGGACGCCAGAGCTAACGCAGTTCGAGTTGGCGGTGGGAATCGGTGTTGGGCATCGGTCTGTTGGCCCTTGAAATGCTTGTTGTTGGGATGCCGGCATTTCAAGCGAGGACGATTGGTATGTCCTTGTGGGGCTGACTCTCCGAGGTTGGATTTCGGTTTCCCAAGTTTCCTTAATTTGGCTCGGTGGGCCGATGTTAGGTGTGTCGGCCCTGCATTAGCTCCTTCCCTTCCGGCGTTTGGTTCTTCCATTACACCCACCCAAGTGGAAGGACCAGGCGTCGGGGGCTAATGCAGTCAGTTTTATGGTGGCTCTAAGTGGGTGGGACGGTTGGCTACGGTTTTGGTGGCCTTTGAAATGCCGGTTGTTGGGATGCCGGCATTTCAAACGGGGATGGTTGGCTATTTCGTCCTTGCTGAGTCAACTCTCGGATGGTTGGATTTCAGTTAGCCGAATTTCTTTAATTTGGCTCGGTGTGTCGATGTTAGGTGTGTCGGCCCTGCATTAGCTCCTTTTCATCCGGCGTTTGGTTTTTCCATTACACCCACCCAGGTGGAAGGACCAGGCGTCGGGGGCTAATGCAGTCGGTTTTATGTTGGCTCTATGTGGGTGGGACGGTTGGCTACAATTTTGTTGGCCTTTGAAATGCCGGTTGTTGGGATGCCGGCATTTCGAACGGGGATGG